TTACTAATTACCCAGTTCCAGGTATTTTATTATAAGCAACAGAAGCAGTCTAATACAGTGTTGTATACAAAACTATACAATATATGCATGCAAGATATTTTAAGGAAGAAATAGAGCCAGCCCTGTATGCGCTGATGTGTGGATATGTCTATTAAGTGAAAAATTAAACTGCAAAATATTATATATACTCTGATTTTATTTTTGGTAAAAGTAAATCTGGATTATGTAATTGCACATTCCTTATTGAAAGCTTGAAAAATAGAAATTCAGTTGACCCTCGAACATCATGACCCTTTAAATTGTGTGGGTCCACTTATACATAGGTTATATACTGATTGAACCAACAATGGATTGAAAATACAGTATCCTCAGAATGCGGAACCTTTGTATGTGGAGGGCTGACTTTTCATATCTGAGGGTTCTACAGGGCCAGCTGTGGGACTTGAGCATCCACAGATCTTGGTATCCATGGGGGGTCCTGGAACCAACCCCATACGTATAACGAGGGCCAACTGTACTAGAAAAAAGATGAGACTGATAAACTCCTAGATACTATTTTTGAGTGATTATAGTTTTTAATGTGTACCTGTGTTTGTGTATGTCATAACTTGTATACTTAATCAAAGTTGGAATATTCTTCTACAATGTGATGTTTAGTAGTATAAAAGTTTTCATTATATGAATGTGCCGTAACAGATTTCACCAACTTCTAGAAAGTCTTTGTGGATTTAGACTCTCAACAATGTTGCATGCCCATTATCCTGTATAGTGAACAATACTATGATTTAAAATTAAAAAACACAACTATTTAATATTTCAACAGATGTGCTTAAATTTTTACACATGTAACGATACTGGACTCATTCTGCCTTATCTAGAGAATAATATCTGCAAAAGACAGGACTGCTTACATTTTGGTCGTTACTTATATTCTCACAAATAATACTATTGTGAGTATCATCACCATCATGAATAAATGAGTTAGTGAATACATATGAATGAATCCTGGGTGCTCTCCAGGCCAGGGATGGTGTGGCTTTGTGTATATTTTATCTCAGTTGATGAGCAGTAGCATTTTTAGGTAGATGGGGCAAATATAACATTAGACACAGACAAAAAGCAAGTGATAAGTTTGAGAATGTAACTACAAGCTGTAATAATTTCGTCTGCCTTCCCTTTGTTTTTCTAGGTGAACAACAGCTGTAGGTCATGGGGGTTGATCAACTGATCATCGTATTGGTTTGCATTTTTAATTTTAAAATTAGATGAGTAAATATTTTTGACTTTGTTTACAGGTAGATAAATAAATTCTTACATTTAGTGAGAGGTTTTCCCTGTGCACAGTTTCGATGTGTATGAATTTCAGTCACCAAGGATTGGCTAAATAACACCAGTGCCCTAACAACATGGTTAAAATTTCAGATACCATGGTGTATTTACTGGGAATGATTGCATAAGGCACAGACATCNATGTGAAACACACACAGATGGAGTCACAGAAGAGATAGCTGACTGGGAATGACGACCCTGCACCAGTTGAGGGTCTAGATGTGCCACCAGGGGAACTTTGCAGCGTAAATGAAAACAATGGTTGTAACAAAAAGGATGAAGGTGTCCCAAAGGAAGTGACACTGGCAAACAAACCCAAAAAACACCAAAAACCAAAAATTTTCACATTAAAGAAACTCTGAAAGAAATTTTATGACATCAGAAGCTCACAGAATAAATGTTGGTGGTTAATCCAAATTCGAAGGGAGTGTGAGAGTTTTTCAAGGCAGAGAAAAGATGCTTATTCCATATCTTAAGTTAGAAGATGAAAAGAAGTGGCAAGCACTGTTCAAATGACTCTTGATAAGTTTTCTATGAAGACACTTGTTTCAATGTGCTTAATGCTTTAAATTGTGGTGTATTAAATATTACTTTATGGTTTTTTTCCATTTCCCTATACATTTATAATCAACATGAGAGAGATTTTAATGTTTTGGCAAAATATTTCAAAGGTGACTGCATAATCGTAATTTACTTGTTGATAATTAAGATTGTTTAGTGTGATTTCAGCTGGTGTGGTCATTTTTATGATTTCGTCTTCCTGTGCAAAGCTAGGACTGCCTGTGTTCAATAGTGGGTGGATTCTCCTAATTTACTGGAAACTGAGGAAACAACATTTCAATTTTTGTTGCTAACTTTTTAGAAACCTATTTAAATTATGATGAGGTTATTGGCTCTTTTTTTAATATTTGAGGTGTTCAAATCCTTTCTCTATCCTAAGCGTGATCAAAAGAGAGGTCTATGAAGTGTTAGTTTTTTATGTCTTATTTTCAGTTATAGAATAAAAGGTCTTTCCAAACAGCTAACTAGAAAGAAGGAATTTTAATTGTGTGTTAATAAATATAAAGAAGTCTTATTAGAAATAGAACAAATCTGAGAGTAACAGGATCCACGTTGATTAAAAAATAGTCCTGTTCCCTCAGAAACTTTAAATTGAATGCAGAATATGAAAATATCTAACTTAGACTATGCCAGGTGTAAGTAATGGGATAACTTCAAGCCATTGAGGTTTTCATTTCCTGGTCGCTGACTGAGTGAGAACAGAGCTAGAAGTTCATTTGAGATTATTTTCTCACCAAAGCAATAACATGTGAAGGTGTCTGATGGTTGAGGTCTCATTTATCCTGCAGCTTTTCAACTGAGTATTATCTAACCCATTATGCCGTAGAAGCCATTCAACATCTGTGCACTTTCTGGCCACCTCAGCTGTGAGAGTGAATTGTTAGATTACAGGAGAGACTTTCTGTGTATAAATGTCCTTTGGGTAATGTACAGGGATAGAGGTAAATATGATAACCCAAGCTGTGATCAGTTGGCTACCCTCAGTCTACACTTAATGTAAGCAAGAGTCTCAAAACTTCATCTATTTTAAACTAGGAGGACTTCCTTCCTGTGATTTTCTTTAATATTAAAACTGCAAATACAGCAAAAATGTGAAGGCTAAAATCTTCAAAGATTAAATCCCATGTAAAACGTTCCTTACCAATATTGCTGTTGGTCTTGTCCTACAGAAAATTTAGGCAGGTTGCTATTGTTTCTAGAAGCTGCTATCATATGGTTATCAAGTCCAGTTAAACTATGTTTCAAGAAAAACTCATTACAGAGATGGAGTCTACGTTCTGGGAAATGTGATATAGCTTCAAACCATCTTCTGATTATCAGCAGCTTTTATTTATTTTTTCTATTGAGATGAAATCCATATAACGTAAAATGACTGTTTAACGTGTGCGATTTAGTGACATTTTGTACATTCACAATGTTGTCAACCACCACCTCTTACCTAGTTCCAAAATATTTTCATTATCCCCAGATAAAACTCCCTTTTCATTAAGCAGTCACTCTGCATATGCCCTGACCTCAGCCCCCCAGCAACCACCAATCTGCTGCCTGTGTCTGTGGATTTACGTGTTCTAAATGTTTCATATAAATGGAATCATACAACGTATGGCCTTTTGTGGCTGCCTCCTTTCATTTAGCTTGTTGCTTTCAAGGTTTACGTTGTAGCGTGTGTTAGTACTTCACTCCTTTTTATGACTGAACAGTATTCCATTGTATGTATCACAGTTTCTACACTCATCAGTTGATGGACATTCAGGTACTTTCCACCTTTTGGCTATCATGAATAATGCTGCTATGCACATGGATGTACAAATGTCTATTTGAGTCCCTGTTTTCAGCTCTTTTAGGTAAAGACTTAGGAGTGATTTGCTGGATCTTTGATAATTACTGTTAACTTTCTGAGAAACCACCAAACTTTTTTCACTTGGCAGCTTTTATTTGCACCATGTGTAAGGCGGGAACGTTTATTCCCACTCTTGATACTTCCTCTCGGCTAATCTGTGTCCTTTACTCAGTTTACCCCAAGAGAGATGATGGAGCGACTTACTGATTGATAAAGTCTGCCTACAGAAAACATGTCTTCCTCTCCTGTCCTCCATGGCAAAGACACAGGGCAGGGCTCCTCAGTGGGGAAGCTGATAGATGAGTGTTGCTAATTCTGGGCTTGTATTTGGAGGCCAATGAGGTTCTATTCTTCAGAAACAAATGCTGATATTTTGTCTTTGAATCTGATCTTCGCTTTATGTTTCAAATTGTAACCTTCACAGAGTTCAATGTGCTATTTATAGGGGATTCCTTTGGAGAATGCGAATGTTAGGATGTAAGAGGTTATGCTGCCAGAACTTGACCTTTATAGATGTGATTGTAACCTTCACAGAGTTCAATGTGCTATTTATAGGGGATTCCTTTCGAGAATGCGAATGTTAGGATGTAAGAGGTTATGCTGCCAGAACTTGACCTTTATAGATGTGACCTGCAATTGTAGGTTTGAAATTGAACTACCACTTACTTTTAGCAATGGGGACTTGGAGAATTTACAAAATTAGTTTCTATTTTCTTATCTATTAAAATGGGGAAATTCTGTCCACCTTTCTTATGTATCAGGTATGCTGTCGGGCTCGCCAATGTCAAAGCAAGGACATGATAACATCAGACTCCCCAAAAGAGGAAGATTCTATCTAATTTACATTTTTCAGATATTTTAATAGCTTTTTTATAGTACAGACTAATAATATAAATTTCAATTTTAAAAACTTGACCACAAAAGTCCCAGCAGGATGATGGCAGGAATATGGCACAGGTAGAGAAATCAGCAAGCCACCAATCTTCAAGTAGAAAGTAGTCACCTTGTATGGGAAGCATTCACCAGCCAGCACCCAATGATGTGACCAGAGTGCCTGGCGACTTCTCCATCAAGGTCATTTAAAGTTCTGGCATTTTAGAAGTGACTTTTACTTTGAGGAAAAATATTTTGAGACAACTATGTAACTCTGTAAAGCAAGTTTTGTGACTTCATATAGCATCATCTCTAGATTACCAGGACACATCTAGAGTTCTTACTGTTATCTTTTCTTTTTTTAATGCTATTATCTTTTCTAATATTCTTGGTTTAGGTAACACGTCATCTTGCCAAGCTCTTCGACAGCATTGCAGATCTGCAATTTGAAGACAGTCAGGATGTTTGTGCACACAGAGCAGTTGGAATGTACAGCAAAGAAAAGGAATATGTCCCATTCCGAGCTGAGTGTGAATGCATAGGCCATGTAAGATTTGATTGTGGGGTTTTCTATGTTAGGGGAGTGTTTTGGGGATACTTTTTAAAGGTCAAATTGAACAAGAAGAAATCAACTCATGTAAAATCTGGTTAGTTTTGTGCTTGGAGATTCTCGTTTACCTAGTTCCAGTGTGATAGAGGGCTTCTTGCCGTGATTCCCAGTTTCTGCTCATTGGCTCCAGCTCCCAGCAGAGTCTCAGAGATGCTAGGAGTTGAACTAAACAGAAGGGACTCTCACAGACTGAATTAGTGGACTCCAGAATTAGTAGCAAATGCAACCCAGTCACTGAGTCTCCTACAAAGGGTGTTCTGTTTTCACCACTGCTCAGAGAATACAGGAGAGAGTTACAGCGAAGCAGCACCTTGCATTAAGGCATGTTTTAAAGAGGCTTTGTTGTTCAGTGTTCAGCTGTGAATGTTGTAAATGACTGCTGATAAATAAAGTTGATTGCATCTACCAAGCTGATGGCACATGCTCTAATCACCACGTGCACAGAGTTAAGTTAGCGTACTCTCTTCTCTCTTGGCCATGTACCTCAAAAATATTCTTAACAGTTATCCACAGGAATGGCTTATTATGATTTACGAAAGAGCTTTTGGTGTATTCAGATGACTTAGAAAAACTGCATCTTTTTATGATGATGCTTGTGTAGCTTGGGTTAAGCCACAGAGTAGCTGAGGGAATAGCCTCTATTAGAAAACCGTTTGGGTTGGAGTAGGGGGTTCCTTAAAGAGTTCTTTGCGGGAAAGTGATTGCAATCTTATTTTACAAGGGTTTTCTTTACTTCTCTCTGTTGCTTTTTAATATTGTACCAGGAAAATTCTGCCAAATGAAGGGGAAGCAGATGGTCAAATACTTTGATTAAAATATATTTTTTGATCTCTTGGGCTTTTTAGAATATTATTGTAATGATTAGAAAGAGTCACTATAAACTATCTTGACAAAAGTGTGCTGCTGTCTGTTCCCTCCCCAGCAGACGGCTTGTCAACTGGCATGGTGCCCAGAGAGGGACAGTCTATTGATGGATGTGGTTGTCACCAGCAGGAACTCTTGATATTGAAAGTTTTTTATAGTGCTCTAATTCTGTATAAGCAACTTATGCTAAAGTCTTTTAAGCACATACTACATTTGCCCTCTAATTGTCTTTGTTTTAGAAAAAGATGCTCTTCCTTTAAGGCTTTTCTTTCTTTTACTTCACTTTTACAATTGGTTTCTCCCAATTTAGCTTATTTTATTTGCAAGTGTTTATTGAATACATACTAGGCATCAGATGCTAGGTTAGGTTTTCGGGGACCCAGAAATAAACAAGACATAGCCCTTGTCTTTGAGGAGCTCTTAGACTCATTGAGGAAATGAATATACCCATAATTAGTGATAATGGGAGGTAGTAATTGTTATTATGGAGAATAGGACAGAAGGTTAGGAAATACCAAAAAGAGAAGGATCCAGCAAGCACCGCATCAGAGCTTAGCTCTCATATCATACTCAGATAGGTTGCCATAGTCATCTGAACATGAGCTGATATATTGTGTTTGGTCCTCCCAAATGGACTAAAGTGTTCTTGAGGACAGGTGGCCATATTTGAGGACATGGATCCCAGAGTATGTGGGAGATGCTCAAATAATAACTGATCTACTGAGGGGATTTGTTGCTTGGTGACATTCAGAATTCTGCTTAGTTATTAAAGCAGACATACAGGACCCCTTCGATTAGATCAGAACAACCTGATCTCATCAGATTAACCTGAATTCATGCATGTTAACAGAGCCACAACTGTGAAGCCAGAGGAGAAGTTTCTTAATAAGAGATGTTGGGGCCATTGCCAGGGCAGTGATTCTTTTTTCTTTTGAGAGGGAAGGTTGTCAGCTCATTAACCACCTATCATTTCTTCCCAATTCTCAAGAGAGAGAGAAAAGAGGTTATAGGAATGCTGCTGCCATGTTCACAAAGGTGAGGGGACAACCAATTGTAGTATCTTCAACATCTCATGTGGTCTTAGAATTTATTTACTGTAGTCATTTTTATTGCTGTGGTCAATTATTTGCAAATAATGTATGTATCCTTTGAGTTATATATCATGCCATGGTAACAGATAATACCATGGATTAATATAACAAAGCACATGTAAATAGAATGGAAAACTGGCAAAGGTGTATTTGTGGGAGCAAAATAAACTTGAAATGAAATTTTTAAAAATTAATTTTCATATGTCAGCAGTTGTCCTTTCTCTTATATGCTCCTGCTGTCTAATTTCTGACAAGTGTGAAGATTAGAAGCAGTAGGGAATACAATTAGGATACTTGCTGAGAATGCTTTGTCTTAAGACTAAGAACTATGAAGATTTTAGAGAAGAATTTTTCATAGATTTAAAGATTATCAAAATATTGTTTTTAAAAATCAATTTTCCATTATCCCCAGTGCTTTAGAATATGACTCATAACCTCCATAGGTAGCTGTGGCATTTGGCTTCTCAAAACACTGTGTGTTACCAGAGGGGAATCTTGGTTTAGAACCCCCTTGTCTTCAAAGCTGGAAAGCTAATAATAGAGAACACCTCTGTTCAGGCTGTGGAGTTATTAGCCAGCTTGTGGTAAAATAAGGCGAGCAGTATTCCTGGGAGAAGACAGGTTCATGCAGGAAAAAAGCTTCATTGGCGAGTTAGTTCAACTATCCCTTTGCGTTATCCCTCTTGCAGCTTTCTACTTGGGTTTAAAATAAAACCACAGAAGGCCTTATACTCTGCATGACCTTAGAGCCAGTGGGAGGATGGAATTATCCTTCTTCCATAGTTAAGCCTGTGTTATAACATTTCAATTTGCTTCAAAAGGTGGAGTCATGGCTTCTGCAGCTTGAACGGACCATGCAAGAGACAGTGCGTCATTCTATCACAGAAGCCATAGTGGCCTATGAGGAAAAATCTAGGGAACAGTGGATTTTTGATTTCCCGGCTCAAGTTGCACTAACCAGCTCACAGATATGGTGGACTACAGATGTAGGAATAGCCTTCAGTAGACTGGAGGAAGGCTATGAAACGGCTCTAAAGGACTTCCATAAAAAACAGGTATTGTATAGACTTGTGATTTTGAGACTTGGAAAAGGAAGCTTCACTCAGCATTTATGGAATGTTTTCGGTGTGCAAGGCGCTATGCCAGGAAGGTTTTAGCCGTCAGTTGTTTAATTTTTCATTTTCTACCTTTGTGTCATTCTTCTTCTAGTTTTCCACTTGGATTTAAAGAAACATATCATGCCCGTTTTCTCCCAAGGCTCCAGTGTAGCACTCATACCTACGTACTGTACCTATTTTTTCTCTTCTGTGTGAGACTGTCCATCTAGGCTGGTCAACTGTTAATAAACTTTACCTCTTCCTCATCAAGGAGCTTAGAATCATTTATTTTGAGCTCTACTCTCCATTTTACATGCCACTGTTTAATCTTATTTTTTTTAAATCCCCCATTAATTGTGGTGGTGGTGTTGTTATTACTATTATTTAAATTTTGCTTAGATTTGCCAACATATTTAGCAATGACTTTGCTCATTATATATTTATTTTCTACCCCATTTCTTATTTCTGAATTCATTTCTCTTTTTTCAAAAGTATATCTTTTAGCGGTTTGTATAGTGATGGATTGTAATAGGAAATTTTCTGATCCCTTGTCTTTATTTTGATATCCTTTTTGACAGTTTTGCTAGGTGTAGAATTCTAGGTTGAGAGTTATTTTCTTTGCTCTGTTTTCTTCATCTAGACTTTTATTAGCTGTATATTGAACCTTCTTATTCTCTCTTCTCTGTCTTCTAAACTCTATTACATATTTTCCAACTCTCTACCTTTTTATGCTGCAATTCAGGTGACCTCTTAAATCTATCTTCCAGTTCAGTTTTTTCCTTATAGCATATTGTATTAGTCCCTTTTCTGTTGCATGTAAAAGAATACGTGGGACTGGGTAATATGTAAATAAAAGATGTTTATTTCTTACAGTTTTGGAGTCTGGGAAGTCCCATGTTACAGGGATCACAGCTGGTGAGAGCCTTTTTTTTGGTGGGGGCTCTGTACCATGTCCTGTGGCAACATGTAGTATTACATGTTGAGAATGGCAAGCATGCTTTCATGGGCTCTTCTTTTAAAGCCACCAGTCTACACCCAGGATAACCCATTAAATCATTAACCTGTTACTCCATGGATGGATTAATTTATTCACAAGGGTGCAGTCCTCACGATCCAGTCACCTCTTAAAGGCCCTACCTTTTAAATATCAATCGGATTTCTCATCCTCTTAACACTGCTACAAGGGGGATCAAGTTTCTAACACAAGAACTTTGGGGGGATGTATTCAACCCATAGCAGATATATGATTAAGCAAAAGGAACCCAGGGCCAGATTATGTAGGTTCCAATCTCAGTTTCTACCATTTATTTTTTAACTGTGTCACTTTAGGCAAGCTATTTAACTGATAGTATTTGTAAAATACTATCTTAAACTACTTTGCAAAATTGAAGTACCATGTAAGTGTTAGCCATTGCTGCTGCTGTTATGCTGTGATGTCTACAATGACAGTAGTGTCTAATGAGATACATAGTTCATTAAGTTTTATCATAATTTATCATAAAATTTTTCAAACATTCAGTAAAGTTAAAAGAATTATATAGTGATGTGTATACCTCCAACAATTTATCATAAAATTTTCAAACATTCAGAAAAGTTAAAAGAATTATATAGTGATGTGTATACCTGCCACCTAGATTCTATACTTAATATATTTTTGTTGTCTTATCACGTATCCGTTCTTCGTCCAGCCCTTTATTCACCCATCAGTCCATCTCCCATTTATGATTCATTTCAAAAGAAATTGCAGGTATCAGTAATTTTTACTCTTAAATATTTCAGTTTTTCAAATTTTTTTTAAAAAATTCATTGACAAATAAACATTGCATATATTTATGGTGTACAACATGACGTTTTGATTTACATGTACATTGTAGAATGGCTAAATCAGACTAGTTAATATATTCATTACCTCACACTCTTCTCTTTTTTGTGGTGAGAACATTTAAAATCTCTCCTTTTAGTAATGTTCAAGTAAATGATATATTTTTAACTGTAGTCATCATGATGTACAGTAGATCTCTCAAACTTATGCCTTCTAACTAAAATTTTATGTTCTTTGACTAAGATCTCCCCAATTTCCTTACCTCCCTCAGACTCTGATCACCACCATTTTACTCTCTATTTACATCATTTAAATTTTTTATATTTCACAAAAAGTGAGACCATGAGGTATTTGTCTTTCTGTGCCTGGCTTATTTCACTTAACATAATGTCTTCCAGGTTCACACATATTGCTGCAAACGACAGTATTTTCTTCCTTTTTAAGGCCAAATAGTATTCCATTGGGTATATAAACAGCACATTTTCTTTATTCATTCATCTGTTGATGGACACTTAGGTATCTTGGCTATTGTGAGTACTGCTGCAATGAACATGGGAGTGCAGATATCTCTGACATACTGATTTCAGTTATTTTGCATATATTCTCACTAGTGGGATTGCTGGATTGTATGGTAGTTCTATTTTTAATTTTTTTAGGAACCTCTGTGATATTTTGAAATATATATATTTGATCTTTGTTCCCATTTCCTGGTATACAACTCCTAAAATCCTTAGAATCGTCAAAATGATAAGTACTTTTTATATGCTAATTAGGTGATTGATGGCTGGTAGTCCCTAGGTATCTTCAGTAAGGAGGCTGGTCACTGGAAAGACCAAGGCATGATTAGAGGGGTGGGACTCTTCAGCCTCACCCCCAACCTCTACGGAGGGTAGAGGGGCTGAAGGTTAATTTTATCACCAATGACTGGGGTGTAATCAATCAAGTTTATGTAATGAAGCCTCCATAAAACCCAGAAGGACGATGGTCAGAGAACTTCTCCATAGCTGAACACATGGAGGCTCCCAGAGGGCGGCATGTCCCAGGAGGGAAAGAAGCCATGCACCCCTTCCATCATACCTGGCCTTGAGCATTTCTTCATCTGCATCCTTTGTAATATCTTTTATAATAAACCCACACATGTAGTCAGGTGTTTCCCTGCGTTCTGAGTTGCTCTAGCAAATTAATTAAACCAAAGGAGGGAGTTGTGGGAACCCTGACTTATGGCCCATTGGTCAGAAGCACAGGTAAAACATTCTGGGGCTCACAATTGGCATCGGAACTGGGGGACAGTCTTGTGGGACTGAGTTCTCAACCTGTACAATCTGTACTATCTAGGTAGACAGTGTGTCAGACCTGAATTGAATTAGAAGATGCGCAGCTGGTGTCTGCTGCGGAATTGATTGCTTGCCTGGTGTATGGGGGAAAGTTCCCACACATTTGGTCACAGAAGTCTTCTGTGTTGATTGCGGTGTGTGAGCAGAGGAAAAACAGTTTGTTTTTTACAATCAGCCACTATATTGTTTTCCGTGATAGCTGTACTAACAAATTCCCACCAACAGTGTACGAGGGTTCCCTTTTAAAACACTTCAATTTACATAATCCTTTAATCTGTTTGATTTCAGTTGTTGTATTTAAATTTCCTAAAGATCCTTTTGGTTCTTTAAAAATCAGTTTTATGATGACCCATCTTTTCTTTGTGGTTTATATTCTTTTATCTCATTTATTATTTCAAAGTGACATTTAATGTTATTTATTTTGCTCTATTTTATTTTTTTTGTGACTGGTAAGGGGATCGCAACCCTTGGCTCAGTGTCGCCTGTGCGGCGCTCAGCCAGTGAGCGCACGGGTCATCCCTATATAGGATCCGAACCTGCGGTGGGAGCACTGCTGTGCTCCCAGCGCCGCACTCTCCCGAGTGCGCCATGGGGTCGGCCCCATTTAATGTTATTTAGATTGTTCTAACTCCAGTTGTTTTGAAGCTGGTTCTGTTAAATTGGATTTGTTTTTTGTGTGTTCATTTTTTAAGGTTTGTTTTTTGTGTGTTCATTTTTTAAGGTTATCTTTATCTAAGTTTGTTTTTCTTTTTGTGCTCTGAGTTGAGCAAATGTCCCTCTATAAGGATACTTTTAAAAGTTCATGGAAAAATAGAAATAAAATGTAACATGAATCTTTTCATGAACTTTTTGAAGACCCCTCATAGTGTGTTTTTTTCCCCTTGTTTCTTCCAGGCCTTCTTTGCGTTTGGGTATATTTTAATTTAAAATTCTTCTGTGTTGATAGTGAAATTGTCCATGTCAGTTTAATTCAGTATGTTTCAATACCACCTTTTATTGTTGTTGTTTTTACTGATAATACTGGCTGGTTAGGTTGTATTTTTATTTTTGGCTATCATTAACAGTACTACAGTAAATGGCCTGTATATGTGTGTTGCACAGATTTTTCTTTATTTCTTCAGGATAAATTTCCTGATATAAAATTGCTAGGCTTGGGCCGAGCCCGTGGCGCACTCGGGAGAGTGCGGCGCTGGGAGCGCAGCAGCGCTCCAGCGGCGGGTTCAGATCCTATATAGGAATGACTGGTGCGCTCACAGCACTCACTGGCTGAGCGCGGTGCGGCCAGTCTCAAAAAGGACAAAAAATAAAAATAAATAAATAAATAAAATAAAATAAAATAAAATAAAATAAAATTGCTAGGCTCAAAGCCTGGAAGCCAGATTTACCTTCCCTGTATCAGTGTATAAAAAGTGTCCCCTCCCTGCCCCATCAGCAACACTGGGTTGATGCTACTCACATCCTGGTAGCTTTAGCATATTCAACTAATTAGTGGAAGTTAGCTTTCATTTCTCTTAAAATATTTATACAGTTTTCCATTTTGTTCAAGAGTTAAATAGTGCTTCTTTTTTTCACATTACATGAGAAGTAGAGAGAGGGCATGGTTTGGGAAGAAACATTTATCTGCTTAATTATGAAACACTTCTAGCATGAATTGAACTGTTTGACAGACCAGCCAAATAGGTGCCTTCAGTAGAGTATTGCACTGTTGGAACTGCTACTAGCATGTGTGTTAGAGAAGCAACATTTGAATATGACTCAAGCTGTGGTTTGGGGACATGAGAAGCTTGTGTACTGAAGTTGAG